ATGATAGTTCTAGAAACGTTGCGTCACAGTAGTCATGTGACTCGATGACGCAACAATAGATTGCATTCACATTGTTATAGATTATTATAGGAACAATCATTTGTTTAGATTGTATTTCAATAGGATTAAAAGTAGGTTGCAATGTCATTACACTCTACCACAGTCTCAAAGTACTTTACAACGTAATATATATCTATATATGCTCGGGGATAACTCGTGCTTCGCATACGATGTATTTACTAAAATTATTTGACTAATGAAACATTGTTTAGAAAAAAATATATATAGACGGAATTAAATAGACCTTCCTCACACGAAGCATGCGCTATGCCATATGAGCCAATGCCCAGAGATTTTTTTTCATGTATTTACATATGCAGCAATATTAAGAGGAATGTTATATATATGAGAAGGTTATATGTTTTAAATAGATAAATCCTTGAAATAATGCTGTTGCTGTATTATGTAGTTGGACACGAATGAAACAACAATTTATAAAATAGAAATGGAGTTACTGTATCTAGATTTAACGTAAAAGAATTGTAAAAATGTGGAAAGGCTAACAAAATATATCTCTGTACATAATTGTTTTGTACAAATACATTGTCTTTCTGGATAACCAGCATCTTTGAGCAAGATCTTGATATTTCTTCTTTACTGAACTCTTGATAAAGCGACGTTATAAAATACAGAAGTTTTACAATTATGGTGTCAAGAAATATAAAAATCAACCATCTTCGTTTGTCCCTATTTCACTTATTTGTATTTATCCTTCTACGATAGCGTTAACTCCTTTTGTACTTTCCTCTATAGCGTTAGAAAAGCGTCGAGCCTACTACCACCAATTATTTTAGGCTTAATTGTCGATTTTAGGCGCCTGTATCGAGATAGTTGAAAACGTATAATAGTTATAAAGTAACGAATTTTTATAATAATAGCATATAGAAGTGTGAAAATTAAATAGCGTAATATATATATATATATATATGTTGTTGTAAATTTATTGTGTGTACATACGTCTACATCGCATTTGTAGCTCATTTGAAACCCGTCATTATTTTCTTTCGCTCAATGTGTTTGCTGTAGAGCATCAAAAAAATGACCAATGTTATGCCAGTAGTTTGCCGTAGATTATACAGCGGGTAAAAAATCAAAAGTTTGAAATAATGAAAAATAGCATATACTTTAATAATTTTACAAGAGAGGAAGGGAGGAATATGAATCACATAGAAATTTTGAGGTAGGGTACGTAGTTCGTTTTAAGATAATTTTCAATGAGATCTTTTAAATTTTATTTAAAACATTATTATGCTATCTTTTTAGAAAAGGGTGGAGGTTGGGAGTAACTTATAGTAGAATTATTAGGGTGGATTTATCATTTTTTTTTCTACTTTAGGAACTATTAGAACTTTTAAGGGCTGCGGTTGGGAGTAACTTTTAGTAGAAATATGTTTACGGTGGTTTTTAAAATTCTATTTCTACTTTAGGTATTAGTAGAACTTTTAAGGATAACTGCCTTCCTATAATTAGCTGCAGACATTGGAAGTTAAGACGTTGTGGGAATAAGCACTCAACTCCGCACCCTTAATTGATATTCCACGATTGCTAACTAGTTTTCCCATCGGCATTTGGATTTTGTCTGATAGATGGCATATCCACAACGCTTTTGGGAGCTATCACCACAGGCAATTTCCGTTACCAATTCAAGGTTACGACTGGAAATTATAATGGACTTTTATAAAGTAATTTTAAGGCTTATCTTATGTTAAATTCATTATTGTTCTATAGTGCTGATTTTAATCGCCTATTAACAACTAATGTAATATGATAGTTTTGAAGCCATTTCTTTCATTATCTATACACACACACACAGATGTATACAAAGTTTATTTTGATATGATATTTTTTACAAGATTTAATATGGAAACAATAATAATTTTTATCGATTAAAAGTAAGTATAGTTTCTTGTTATCGGTGTCACCAATGTTGTTTCTTTGGGTTTTATGAATAAGAAATACACATACGTCAATTAATAGTAACTCAGTTTATTGGTACGGTATTCCAATGTAACTTTTTACCTCAAACTGATTGAAGACCCTCCCCCAACAAAAAGGGTAATTTGGAAGCTATATTATTATACAAAAACAATAGTTTGTAACACACAGACATGTTACCAATATCACACCGGTAGAAAATACAACTGTATTTAAATTTTATATTTTAACGCTTAAAACATGTCAAACTCCGATAGATATGACGTATAATATCATGAAATTTTAAATAATATTCACGGAGTCTCATTTACTTTGTTAGTTTTAAACCGTATCATTTTGTTTATAATTTTGTTCTATTATAAAGTTAAAACAGCACTGAATTGTTTTATATTAAGCTGGAGATTTATAATCACAATTAAAAATAATAATAAATAAAGTCTACTACATAAATAACTTCAACAATGATAAACTTTGGAAAAATGAAACTTTATGATATGGTTTTATATAGTTTTATTTAGAGCGGTGCATTTGAATTCAACATCGAAACTGCCCAAATATGTTTTGATTAATCGGACTTTAATACCGTCCAAAGAGTAAGTTATTAGAAGAAAAAAAACTACACAAATTACAATTCATCTTACACTGTTACATAATTCCCATCAGCCTAAAAAGTTTATTTTAACTATTTTTGGTGAACAACAATAAATCCGACAACATTCAGTGTGGAAATCTCTGTAAATATATATATAAAAAAAACCACATTAAAATAAACGCTAATGTCAGTACGACTTAATTTAAAATTTTAGAATACAATTCCTTGAGATTAGATTGGGTGAACGTTTCTTCTTCTTTCTTGACGTTTTCCCAAGATGGCATCTTCTTTGAAAGTGTTTTTGTATGCCACACCAGAACCTGCAAGATCAAGATAACGTATTTTTTACTGATATTTGATAATAAGAGTCAAATTATGATTCTTGCTTTTCCTAAAACAGACTTCAGCTGTTTAGGAAAGCTAAACTGTTTATGATGTTAGATTTAGTGAGGGAAACACGGTACGAGTCTTTTTGATAAGAAGTTTTTTTACAACCCAATAATGGAACGATTTTTATCTTACATTCATTAAAAACCACTTTTCACCTTATCTACAGTATCAGCTAAAACACAATACCGTACTACGGACATATAAACATAGTCACGGTTCATCTAAAACACAACACTGTAATACAGACATTTACATTTATCCACAGTCCTAGTTAAAACAACACTAATACGAATATATTTTTGCAAGTGTAAATCTTGAACGGTTGAAAAACGTTTATTTTAGCACAAAACTATGAAATGGGCCATTACACTCTCTACCCTACCGGGAATCGAATTCCGGATTTCAGCGTTGTTAATTCGTAATCTTATTGTTGAACTACAGCATACGACACTTTAGGGACTAATTGGTTACCTTTCGTGGTTTAAAAGGTCAATCACTATGGTTACGTCCATTAGAATCAGAATAAAAAGAGAAGTTAAATGTATCTTGCTGCTCACTAACTTTTCTAGCGTACAAAAATATTTATAATAATACATCTTATTCCATATAAAACATTAGTAAGTCCAAATTTGATACATATATTGAAAATATTGATCATTAATCATTTATTCAAAATACGTATAAATGTTCAGTAATTTTCGACTAATAATTTGGAACGAAAAGGAAAAATCAAACGGCTTTTTTACCAAATTTTCATTCACTCGACGTTAAAATACTTTGTCGTGCTGCAATAGGCTTAACTGAGCCAACGCTTACCTCTGTACAGTTAGCTGCTTTTGGTTCCAAATCTCTCATCTTGATTTTTAAGCTTTTTAGGAATCCATCTTCCAGGTGTCCTAATCTGTAAGGCATTGAAGGGTTCTTACTTTGTTTTAAAAGTCTGATAGAAACAGCAAATCCCGCCATATCGACCGCAAATAACCTGCTTCTTTTAAACCCATCGTGAAAACCTATAACTTTCCCGTCTTTCAGTATAGGAGAACTAATAGAATACTTTGATGCCAAACCCACAGGCCAGACACTTGCTTTCTTTGTCCATCTCATCTTGGAAAGAAGAAGTAAATTAATACTTTTCAAACATTCTTCTGAATAAAAATAGCATAGATAAAGGCAATTACTCTACTACTCACTCATACGAGTGTTTTTAAGAACATAAATGTGAAAACCAAGTTAAATGATAAGAAAGCAATCAATATCAAGATTAATGAATTTAACTTTTTTTTAATTAGTGCTAGCCGAGTTTACAAGTTAATTTTTCCATAGAGACACACACAGATACACAAGCTTTAATTACTCCATAGATAATTTTGCATCTTTTTCTGGATAAAGTGCATGCTCATCTTGGTGGTGCAAAACATTTCCTACAAAGACTGAATAATCCAAGAGAAAAATAAATTACCCAGGATACTATACTTTTATTTATTATTCCTAGATATTTTACAGTTATATTCCTTTATTTTGATACATGAAGATGTTGCTATTTTAATGACAGCTATATAGAGATATAGAAAAAAAAAAAGACTATCTAGTTATCTTACATTCCATTGTACTTACTGGAATAGACGTCAAAAATCAAATCACGAGTTACACGAGATTTGGCGAGAATACTTTTAAATATATGAGTAGGTAAAGTTCCGATGGTTGAGTGAAGAGAAACAAAAAGTTTCTGACCACCCCGGCTTGCCTTTCAGCGCCCCCTCCCTATTGTTTTTTTTTTTTTTAAGCCTTCAAAGATTTTTAAACTTAAATTTCTGCCACGTATTTTGTTTGTTTTGGTTCCGGTGGAAAACAAAATGGAAGTAAAGGTTTTGTTTTATTCATGGAAGACAACTAGGAGAGTGGAGAAGAAATACATATTTATTACAGGTTTGTTGATGGAATCTTCGGCATATGAAATTATGAATAATACTCTTTCAATTCTCCGAGTTTATGAATTCAACACACCCAACGGTAAAGTTCACTAACACTTGTGGAACTTGTTATACTATTGCTAATGGAAAATTAAAAGTAGCATATCAAACAAATTTGAGACCAAACCATTTAGTATAACTTTAAAAAAATCTCATTATCCACTTTATAAAAAAAAAAAAATTGTTTGATTTTGGGGGAAATTAAACCGTAAAAATACCGTTATTCCTTACGAGTGTGATTAATTTACATTATTTAGGCGGCACGATTAACCGTTTTTAACTTTTATAGTAATCCACTTAACTGTATAGGTTACTGTGTATAAAGTTGTATCCTGATGAAGCTGCCAGGAGAATTACAGTAATAAATACACACACACACATATCTTCAAAAACAACACTATACATATAAACTACTTCTGTGCTGCTGGACTAATGCTCAAGAAACATCTCATCACATAACGTGTTTGAAATAATGAATGAAAAAATGGGGTTCAACCATCATGTTTACAGCATCTGCTCACAAATAAAAACATGAACGACACTTAATACTTGTAAGGATGTAATCCTTCTTCCAACTAGAAGAATTATAAAATATACCTCTTCAAATATTCTAACGTCATAAGAATTATCATCATCTGCAAAATACAGCACACCATCGTTGATGGAAGAGTTTCTGAGCCACTCGATGGCCTTCATCCTATTAGCAACTCCACGGCCTGATGTGGGGTTTGTTTTATTTTTAGGCTTCTTTGAACAAAGATGAGTAAAGGGGACTCCCGTTCGCCTCAGTAGGTTACTTACAGGCTGAGTCAGGTTTTCAGAATCTTCGACAACAATCCAATGAATACTGGGAACTAGTTGTAGTGTTTGTGCTAGCCTTGTCATGTCAGCCATCTGTGCAGCACGTTTATATGTTGGTGTTACAATATATATGATTGGTAGCTGTTGCTTGTATACCGGCCCTTCTTTAACTACAGGTTCAATGGGTTCATATTCTAAATTCCCATATTCACCTATATATGATAAATAAATAAATGAATAAAGTTCCATAAAATTGATGAGATTTCCAAATAACAGTAAATGTTAATGAATAGAAAAACTTATTCAGTTCAACGCCTAAGAAAAATTGAATAATTATATATGCAAGATGTGAGGACCTACTTTATAGTTTTATATTTGTTGTTGGTCGCAAAGCCATAAAATGGGTTATTTGTGTTATGTCTACTGCGAGTATCGAAACCCGATTTTTAGAGTTCTCATCAGACTTACTGCTGACTCATCGGTGTGTGGGTGAGGTAGTTAGTATAGATTTGTTTAGAATTTCATGTAAAGCTACACGAGGGCTATCTGGCAGTTCCTAATTAAGCAGTGATAGACTAGAGCGAAGGCTCTACACCGCCCACTTGGGCTACTCTTTCACCAACGAATAGTGGGACTTATCGTTAACATTATAACGCCCCTACGGATGAAAGCTCGAGCATGTCCAGTGTGACGGGGATTCGAACCCGCGACCTTAAGATTGCGAGTCGAGCGGCGCTCTAACAACCAGGCCATACACGGCTCCAGTTAGTAGTGAAACTATTTAAGTTTAAAAAAAAATCAAACAACCCCTAAAATTATTCATTATATCATTTAAAATATTCTTTACACTAGCTTTGACAAAAAAAAAAAAAGATAGATATGATGAATACAGTTTTTTACTGCAATAATATAGTAGAGCAAGTTTAATATTTTATCTTTCACATTGAATAAAGCTTTAATTCTACATATCAGTTTAAATATAAACATTAACCAAGCTTTTAAACCCATACTGAGTTCATCATTTGGCGAAACTATGATTCGAAAATACCAATTATTTACACTTGTCAAAATTGAAATGACAAGGAGAGACATCTATGAAATAAAAAAAAAGGTTCTATAGCACTATTCGTTTAATTCCGGTTTAAGTCTGTATATTAAAATACTATATTTAATCCTTAACCGTATTTCATCATTAGTCTTAGCAAAAATTTCAAAGTAATTCTGATTTGTTGGTTCATTACATTCATTTAATGCATGTTGACTGCTTTATCGATCTTACGAGATTGTTCTCCGATTCTGGATTCTATAGTACTGCACTCATTGTAATGTATAACAATAGCTGATGAACTACAGAAAGTAAAATGTAATGTATTATGAGAAATGAAAAAAAAGTTTGTATGATTGTTTGCATTAATGTATATAAACATATGCTTGCGTTTCCCTGTCCGGAACTTTCCTCGCAATTTTTTTCAATCAAACCCCACAAATCTCATATCGTTAGAAAGGCCTTTGTCCGAGCAGTCCGAATTGCATATTGGTTTTCTATTCAGAATTGTGTTATCAGGCTTACCCGATTTTTACTTGGTCAAACTTTTCAATGCAACAAGTATAGTATGGGATAGCATAATGTCGTTGTCATCATGAGACAACTGGCTTGGATTTCAGCTTTAGTTTGTTTGTTTTTTATAATCTGCAAAGTATTTCACACAAACAACACTTAACACGCTTGTAATTTTCTAAAATAAAATGAACAGTATACTAAATACAATTTCTATGGGTTTTCTCAGATTATTTAGGTCTAAAATACGCATTCACAGTTAGTTCAAAACCATATGCTTATCATTTTGTGAACACGCATTCAGACGTTTTCTGCATATTCAGCTAAGTTTGTCTTCATTACAACTTGCATTTACTTTACAATAATTTAGCTTCGTTCGTTTCATAGACTGCTATAAACACCTTTCAACTACCTTTTTTTTTTTCTTTAGTACTGGTTTTATTCTTAGTTTTGCGAGTTTGTTTCAACTGGTAAAATCCGTGTCATACACTGAACGCTCATAACTGTTACATACTCAGTACACTATTATAAATACTGTTGCGTCAGCGAAGTCACATGACTAGTGTCACGCCACGTTTCTAGAACTATGCTGTACCTTGGCGAATGCTCTAGCATTTACTAGATATAGGGTAGGCTGGTATATAAAAGAGGGTGACAACGTGACGGGACAATAATGTGTGTGTAGATAGTGAGTAATTGAACTGCAGTCAGAAGTATTGTTGACGTTCGTGGATATAGCGTTTGTTATAGAGCGATTGTTGAAAATAAGTGTATCGTAAAGTTGTATTCGGAAAGAATAAACCAGTTTTATTAAGTAAAATAAACCAGTTTTGTTTAAGAAAGGACTTGTGTCGCTAAAGTTTCGTCGGAACGAAGTTACGGAAAGTTAATTAACGAACGGAGACATAACAATACCCATCTACTTGGATGACATAATCTCAAATGGAAAGACCTTTGATAATGTTTGCAGTTGGCTAAGGAAAGTTCTTTATTGGGTGAGGAAAGAGAACCTTAAACCGAATCCTAAGAAGTTTGAATTCTTCCAACAACAAGTGAGTTTCATGGGATACATGGTCAACAAAGAGGGAGTGTTTACAGACTCATTGAAAATTGACTCTATCCAAAATTTGTCTACACCAAAAAAACCTTTCTGAGGTAAGAGGATTTTTTGAAATATGTTCTTACTATCACAAAGTTATGCTTTTACCATAGGCCTTGGAAACAAAACCAACAAAAAGACTTGGTGAATTGACAGTTTAGTGTATTATTTCATATGTGTGTTAGGATTAAAGGGACTTCACAATCCAGTGTTGCAAGCTATATTTGAAATGTTTTAGTGTGGTTGTTTACTAGAGGAAACTGTTGACATTGTGATGATGATGGATTTAGAAAGTGTACAAAAGTATCCCTAGGATACCTAGAATGTTACTGATCAAGATACTTTGCAAAATATCTAGAAACAATGATACATTTTAAACACAAGAATCAGTTTAGCATTGAGTTAGTTTTCAGTTCGATCAGTGATTGTGAAGTTATTGAGGTAATCGGATGCATCTATTCAGATACTCGATCAATTAGCCATGAAAGTGTATAAGTAAGTTCATTTGTACATCTGTTGTAGTACTATTAATGAATAAATTGCTGTTGAAAGTGAATGCATTATTTGAATTTAGGCTTACAAACATATGCAAGTTATAGTAGCCTGTAGCAAATGTTAAGGAAGAAATAAACTAATTTGTCATCGTTACATGGGCTGAACTATGCATTATTTTCACTATGTAATCTAAAAGATCCCATCAAATCCCAACAAATTACAACAATATATTAAATATCATGATGTTTTTCAACATCATAATATTTACCAGATAATAAAAACATTGTCTTTAACAACCTGTTTTAAGAATACTAATGTAAATCATCAACGTTAAGTTAAATATAACAAAATAAGTTGCTTATGAAAAAAGTCATTATTATGGGCTGCTCCCCATAAATGTTTCTATATTATCCTCATATAATATTCTAATATAGTATTGTAAGGTGTTCTGTTGTTGGATGGGTTTTTGAATAATTCGGTGAAAATAATGCAAAGTTCAGTCCACGTAACGATAACGAATTAATTAATTTTTAATAACATTAGCTGCAGGGAGCAATGGTGTGCTTTTGACATGACACCCTTAAAATGGAGCTTTTTTGCAATGTAAACTATGCTGCAAAACTATTGACAAGGTGCACAGATATCAATAGTGCACAACGTTTTTATGGTGACCTCTTTTTAAACATTTAATTTGTTGTGCCCCCCCCCACTCCGTATAACTTATTTGTGTATATACTGTACATGCCATTTCCCCATGTCAGTTGTTGTTACTACATTATTTAGAATTAATGATATTTGTATGGTAGTTTTAAAATTCCTTTAGTTATAAAATTATACTTTCATATATAATTTATATGCTCTTACAGTCATAGTTGTATGCCCTCACCGACTCTTTGTATTCCCTTCCATTCTACGGAGATACAGCTTGATCAGACACAGCAGCATGAACTTTAATGATCTAGTGAGGCACCAAGATCATTTTATATAATGTATTCAACCTCTGTATTAGTTAAAGATGCATTTAGAGGGCGAGATTTGTTAACTAGGTAATATATTCAAATATTAACAAACAATGAGAGTTCTTGGCACATATCATTATAAAGTTATCAGCACTGTTGTGAGTGTTTTGAACAGCTAGTTATCAAAATACAGGAATGAAGCATATGCAGGTAGTCACGAGATTGAAGATGTACATATTAGTGAGAATAAGAATTAGGACAGGTGTAAATCCACGAACACAATGATCAGTGGCAAAGCGTCCACCTATCCTCAGCAGCAATACACACCATAAGTCACGTGTACACAAGTTGTTTTCATGATATATCTGTTCAATCAATGCATAATTCAAGCTGATGGAGAATGAAACTAGTATTCATGCAATTTCATATGAATACATACCTGTCAAGTTGTCGAATGCAGAGCTATGGATTTCCTTGTGATTGGACTTTCGAAACACGCACTGAGAAATCATCATCATTGTATCCTAGATGAATAATTAAAAGTATGAAGAGAGAGGTAGTATGCTTTAGAAATGTCAGCTTTACAATAGAGCCTTTTGCGATGGAAATTATGTTGCAGGGCTATTGTCAAGATGCGTGATTGTCATATAGAGCATGACAGAATATGGCAACATGGATTGTAATGACGTAATAAGGTTCCAAAATCGCTTTAGTAAAACCATTGTTACGTCTCCGTTTGTTAATTAACCTTCCGTAACTTCGTTCCGACGAAACTTAAGCGACACAAGTCCTTTCTTAATAAAACTGGTTTATTATTTCCGTATATAACTTTACCGATACACTCAACTTCAACAATCGCGCTAAACAAACGCTATAACAACGAACGTGCTCAATAATACTTCTGACTGCAGTTCAATTACTCACTGTCTATACACACATTATTGTCCCGTCACGTTGTCACCTTCTTTTATATACCAGACTAACCT